CCTTTCTTTTGTAGTAGGATGGATTCATATTGTGGCTTCAAAGGGTCGACAGAGGGTTTTATCCGGCCTATATGGTACGGTTTCCTTTGTATATAGCAGTAGAAGGACAGGCGCGCCTACGGGCATATCGGTGTAGGAAATAATAATAAAATAATAATAATATATAAGGAGCGCTTTAAAGGGTTCGAGAAGAAATATACCTTAATAAACCTCGAGCAGGTTAGCTATATTAAGGAGACGTAGCTTCTACTATATATAGAGAAGCTTATTGCTATATAGGTCAACTAGTAGACTTATTTTAGGAATATAGCTACTTCTTAGGTCGAAGGGATTTATACCCTCCTTAAGTCATACCTCTGGAGGTCGACTTTCGACTTCTTCGAAGTGTAGAAGGCAATTCGGCTTGTATTAAACAACTAGCTTTCCGAGTTAAAGTCTAACCAAGTAAAGTAGTAGATTCGTACGCCTCTTGAGCTTGATAAGGCTCTATATAGAGCTATATAAGGCTAGGTCTCGTACGAAGCGCTATAGAAGGTCGAGGAGCAAAGGCAGTTGTAGTGGAAAGACTCCCCTCCGTCGCCTACTTGTATAGGCACCTTTATACACGTCTATAGGCTCCTATATGTATATGTACTAACTATACGCCAAGGCGAGCCTCTTCTTCTTAAAGACTTTCACTCGCACTAGCGCTTAATACGTAACGGGGCTCTACTTCACCTTCTTGAGCCTCGCTAGCATATCGAGCCAATTCGGGCCCGAAGTGCACTCCTAATATCAAGCACGCAGCGAGAGCCGAGCTAATTTGAAGTAGTTGAGGCCCAGGCCCAGCCCCGGGCCCGGGCTCCAAGCAAGTGTACGAAGTGCTATGCGGTTGGCTATATAAGGACCTCGAGGGCATGCCCTTTGCGGTATTCAGATGTACTATAGTTAGACAGAGTGGTAGTGGTGGTGGTAGTGGTGGTGGCATTTAGGAGTTCAGAGGGCGCGCGGAGTTGATGCCGCGTTTGATGCATTTTTTTGTGTTTACGTAATCAATTTGAGATTACATAAGCGCACACGCGTGTGCGTCTAGTAGGCGCCGAGTGATATATATCGCCTCCCTCACCACTCTATATATTCTTAATATAGCTTCCGAGGATCTATAATAGCTGTCTACGACCACGCTCTATATAAACGAACGATATCCAGCCTCTTTATATAGCTCCTCGACCTTTCGACCCTTCCTTTCTTATAATATAGCCGACTAGGACTTATTTAGTCAATTCCATTATATAGATATTATAACCTGACACTAGGTTTCTAGGCGGGCTACCAAGGGCCTAATCTTATAAGAGGTACTACTACTAAGTATTTGCTCTAACGTCTTACGCTTACCTACTACTAGCACTATATCCCTCTTTTTCTATACCTAGCTAAAATAATACTAATACTATATCACTTAAATAAGGGTTACTATACAATTAAGACCGATAGCTAGTACTTAGGCAGTATTCTTTCTACCAGTATACTCAAAGGAAGGTACTTCTAACCCTTCCCCCTAGGGGATCGAAAGTTTCTAAAAAGCTATCCTGGCCTATAAACTGACGGACTCGGCCAGGATCCACTAGAAGGCGAATCCTAGGGGCCTCAAGCGGTGGTATACGAGTAAACGCTGAGATTAGGCTAGTCTAGGTCAGAAGCGACATCGGGGTTTGTAAATCGCTATATAGACGCCTTTTAAACGCCTTATAGCCAAAAGAGTAGGGAGTCAAACAGGGGGCTATCTAACTGGCTTCGAGCTCTGACCTAGCCTATAGCCTCGTTTACTTCTAACTTTTATACGAGAACTATCTAAGCGCTCCTAGCGAGTGCTGAATTCCTAGTGCCTAGACGGCACCTTACCCCGAATATGATCGAACTCTAAGAAGAGGCTGCTATTATACGCCTTGGCCAATAATACTATAGCGACTATGCCCTGCTACAGGGGTAACATCGCTCGGCCCAGCTCTATGAAAACAACTAGGGGATGGGTAGATACCTAGGCATTTATATGGACTCGCCTGGATGGGACTGGCTTGAGGTGGACAGCCTCTTGTAGGCGATTATAGACCAGTGTAACAGAGTTAGCTTGATATATCTACTGTATATAGAGTCCGCTTTATTAGACTCCTATCGTAGATATATAGCTATACTTGCCTACTACTCCCTGGGCTTATATCTATCCTCGTTTCCGATTTAACGAATAGCGCTCTAAGGAACTAGCTTATATATCTGAATTCTAATAGCCGCTTAAGCCTCTAGAGTTAGCCTAACCTAGTAGACGATTTAGGTAAGAAGCTTACTATAGCAATATCAAGTATAGAAGTAGCGCCTTTAATAGTCTAATATATATCTTTACGTCGGTCTATACCGCTATAGGGATAGCTATGGAGATCCCCCCTACACCGGCTGGCGGAGTACTATTACCTCGACCTCTATAAGCAAGTCTCTCTAATATTCCTAATACCCTTGCCGTCTAGCTAGTACAAGGAGGCCTCTCCCTGATCCATCTTATCTAAGTTATATCCTAGGTAATATTTATATTAACGTAACCGGCAGCGAGGTAGGTATAAACCTCGGTATTCAATAGCTCAGTCAAGTCGCCTATTTATAAGCGGTTTCAGGGGCAAGATGATAGAAAAGGGGGTAACGTCCCTCTAGGTAATCTTACAACTCTCTAGATCGTTTAGTATAAGGTTAGAGTAATATAGCAATATTATAAGTCCTTTCTAAAGTACTAAGCTCAGATATATTTCAACGTCGAAGGTCTTAGTAGGTTTATCGGCGTCTTAGGGCAGCGCTTGGTTAGAAGGTAGTCTAGGAATAGTCTCTATAAATGGGTTAGTACCTAGGGCAGAAATTATATAAGACGAGGCCATTTTTAGACTAAAGCGACGTTCACTGATCTAGTAGGTATAGGATATAATAAGTAGACTCTACTATATAGACCCTATTGCTTTATTTCTCCCCCTTGCCCCTGAGTTGTCCTCTCGACTAGGTTATTCCTCAGGCCGTTCTAGCTATCTATATAGTCGCCAACGACAAAGGCCTAGGAATCATCAAGGCGATATATATAGCTATAGTATTGGCGACGCTCTTCTGTAGCATACGAATCTATACTAGGGGCCTTGTCCTATATTGTGACAAACCCGGTCAGACCTGACTCTGAAAGGGTTCAGCAGAGGTATTAAGACTGGTTCGGTCCAATAGGTTCGGTAAAGCCAAAGGGTTCACAACAAGATGTTCCTTACAATGAATGTAGAATATAAAGGTTACTATAAGCACTGTGATATATTGCTTACTGAAGGACTCCTTAGAGCCTTTAGAATACGTGACTATGTATTATATAACTTCTATAGACGCCTATAGTCGCTGGCGACCCTGAGCGTCTATAGTCGACGATAGACGCTAGCGTCTATAAGCGACTATCCTATAGCCTTGTGGTAGCGCTGTATATTCATTGGTCCTGACTATGCTATACAGGCTCTACCCGGCTGTAATATATAGTTAGTTCGTAACACAATGCCCCTCCTAATATCTTTCGTCCCAAAAGATCGAGGTCGTCGTTTCAAATAGCGCTAACTACCCTAGCTTCCCTGCTTCCCTATAAGCGCTTCCTCTCCGTCTACTACTACCCCTGTTATAGCTAACACTACTAGTAGGCCCTGCCAAAACCGTACGATCGAGCGTCGTGCTGCTACTACTGCTATTGACCGCGACGATCAAGAGGTCGATATATCCTACGAACGTTGTTAGAACGTAAAGCCTCGGAGGCGTTGTATAATAGTTCCTAGCTCGAACAAGTGCTCTAGTTATATACGTTTAGGCAAGAAGTATGGTAGGCCAAACGTCGTAAACGCTTGTAAGTCCCGTTTGCCTTTCTTTGTAGCTCTTGATTGACCTTCGATAGTAATAGCGAATATATCGGCCTGCGATAAGGTAGATAAAGAAATTATAGATGCTGAACGATAGCTATCCGAGGCGTTGAGCCGTCTCTCGTATCTCTGTCGTTAGTACGAGACACTGGGTAATACTAGCTCTGAGCTATTGAGCTATAGTTTGGATGGGTTGGAGGAGGACGAGTCTAATTCTCCTGCTCTAATGTCAGAGGAACAATCCTTAGTTAGCTAGGCGTAGTCCTTAGGTGCCTTCGTTGTTAACTAGGAAGCCGCTAGTATAGTTCCCTATAGTAGCCTTGACTAGCTAACTACCCCTAAGGCTGCTCAAAGGTTCGCTTCCCTGCCTCCTTCTTTTAATAAATAAAATGGTTATATAGTATAGTGATTAGTATATATACCTGCTGTTCTACTTCACCTCAGGATAGAATCCTAGGGTAGAGCAAGGCTCGTACGAGGTTATAGGTTCGAATCCTATTGTAGCCGTGGTTTAGAAAAATCTATATTTCCGGCCGGGGTTCTTCTAGACTCTCTTTTTGCTTATACTAACTCTCTGTTTTTAGTGCTTCCTAGGGTAGCCCTTCTAGTATGAATGCTTCGCCTTCGGCTCTTCCCTTGGTCGATCCGGGTTCTAGCAGTAGAAGTTCGTAACCTTCTTAGAGTAGTAGAGATTCTTAGCTAGTTCCTATAAGTTTTCAGTCGAGTCGAAATCCAACTATTTAACTAGATACTCTAGTCGCCTTTCGTTGATATATAAATCGAAGATTTCCTTAACGTCTTATTCTTCTTCCTCGTCCTAGGCTTCGACCTTGGTCGTAAGCCTAGCGTTTTTAAGTACTAGCTCGAGGAGTGTAATATAGAAGATATTAGTCCTGACTTTTATTATTGTTGGTAGTACGATCTAGTAGTTGTTCTCCGAGATCCACTCTTCGATCTTAAATAGTCTAGTTTTCCTGAAGTCGAGCTTCCTATTTAGCTGGTTTATTCGAAGGTTTTGTATACTGAGGTAGACCTTGTCTCCCCTCTTTAGGCGAGGACCTTCGAGCCTATACTTATCGTAGTACTTTTTTATCCTGCCTCTAACGGATTCAAGTTCGTCCCTAAGCATTGTATAAAACATATATATTTGATCGGCCTTAACTACTATCCTAGGCACTATAACCGCTGGTCCCTGGCGTAAGTCTGCCTAGTATCTAAAGTTCATGAAGAACAGGGTAACTTTTATAGTCTCTATAGGTGATATATTGTATACGAGCTATGCTATAGGCAGAAGTATAACCTAATCGTCCTACTAGAAGTTAATATAAAGTCGGAGGTATTGTTCTATAATTTAGTTAAGTTATTCCGTCTATCTATCTGTCTAAGGGTGATAGGCTGTTGAGAGCTTACTTTTAGTTCCTAGGCGTTTTATAAGTACCTGCTAGAACTTTAATACGAACTTAGTATCTCTATCTATAATCCATTCTTCAGGCTATATATAGACTGAAGTAATATACCGATAGATTACGTCTACAAGTTGTTCTACTAACTACGATTCCTTGTATAGGAAGAAGTAGCTCTACTTAGTAAGTCGATCGACTATAGTGAGGATACTATTATAGGTTGTCCCTATTATCGTGTCTTTTAACACTAGCAGTTTAGTGATAAAGTCTATCGTCACTGAACTCTATAGTCGTACCGCAACCTATAGCAGTTGAAGGAGTCTATAGGGCTTATACCTATCTGGCTTACCTCGTCGGCATAGATCGTATGCCGCGAGCACTTCCTTAACCTTCTTCCTAAGCCCTAGGAAATTATAGTACTGCCTAATCCATATAACTGTTTTAGCGATTCCTATATACCCTCTGAGTCTTAACTCGTGGATTTCCCTGATAAGCTCCCTTTGATCGTAGGGTACGACATACGCCTTATCGTAGTACTACAATATATAGTCCTTTAGATAGATACTAGCCTTCTATACTATATCGTCTTATTTCCATACCTTGTTGTCTATTATATACCCGATAGGAGATTGATAGTTTTTGCTAAGGCGTAATTCCCGGAATATAGCGCCGTACTCTATAGGTTACACTAGGTAGTACAGCGATCTATCTACTTGTTCCTCGAACACTAGCGGTACTATCTCCTGGAATTTACCTATATAGTCGGATCTCCTGCTTAGGGCGTCTACCCGAGCGTTCTCTATTCCTTTGATCCTTCTGATTGTAAAGTGGAACTATATTAGAAACTCCTGCTACTGAGACTGCTATAGGCTAAGGTCCCGTTTTGCTACGAAGTATTAGAGGTTCTAGTGATCTATATATACCTAGACTAGTTGTTCTATACCGCTAAGGTATGACTTCTACTCATGGAAAGCTATAATAATAGCTATTAGTTCCTTGTTATAAACTATATACTTCCTCTATATATCGTCGAGTTTCTTTGAGAAGAAGGTAATAGGGCGCTTCTTGCTATTATCATCCTTTTATATAAGTTGCCCCCCTATCGCGAAGTCCGAGGCGTTAGTCTCGACTTCATAGGACTTCGTTGAATCCGGTAATAGGAGTACTATATCTAATATAACTAGTTCTCGTAGCCGCTAGAAAGCCTACTCTTATTGTTCCCCCTACTGGAACTCGATGTCCTTCTTCGTAAGGTCGTATAGTAGCTATATAATATTACTAAATCCCTTGATAAATATATAGTAGAAGTTGATAAAGCCAATAAAAGCTCTAACTTCTATCGTTATTATCGGTATAGGCCAGTTCCTAACTACTTTAACCTTAGTTGGTTCTATCCTAACTTCTCCTAGTATAATCTCATAGCTAAGGAAAACTATCTTCTAGATATAGAACTCGCTTTTTTCCTTGTTAACTAAGAGCTTCTATATATACAGTATATCCAGCACTTACTTTATATACTCCTTGTACTCCCTAAGCGTTTTCAAGTAGATAAGGATATTATTAAGATAATATACTACGAACTTATCTAGATACAAGTGTATTATATAGTCAACTATAGCTTGGAAGGTGGCTGGCGTATTTATTAGCCCAAACAGTATTGTCAGGTACTTATAGAGTCTATAACGAGTCTAGAAAGCTGTCTTCCATTTATCTCCTGCTTTGATATAGATATAGGTATATATAGTCGGAAGGTCGAGGCGTATAAAGTAGCGGGCCCCTGCTAGATAGTTTCGAAGCTAGTCGATCCTAGGTAGAGAGTACTTGTTCTTCACTATCTTGTTGTTCAACTATCAGTAGTCTATATATATCTAGAGTTTCCTATCCTTTTTTAGTACAAAGAGGATTGGATATCCTACTAGTGACTTTGATAGTCTGATGTATCCGATCTTGAGATTCTTCTCGATATAGTTCTTCAACTCCTTGTCCTAGAGCTCGTTGGTATAGTATACCTTGAAGAACTTCAACTAGGCGCCTTCCTTGAGCTTGATTTCATGATCCTAAGATCTGTAGTCTAGCAACCCTTCTATATACTTTGCTTCGAACGCCGGGTATCCTTGGTATTCTATTGGGAGCCGCCCTATTTCGTTGTTCTTTGCTGTGCCTTTGTAGTACGTGAATTTGCCGCTGGCTGTGACTTCGGCTATATCGGCCTACTATACCTACTCCTGGAACTGAGTATTGCTGTGATTGTCGACTGAGATAATAGCTACCTTCTCAGCGGCTTGTTTCGTCTTACTAAGTCGTCTATCCGATCCCTTATAACTACTGCTTCTTCCTACGTCCAGTGGGGTTTTGTATATTCTTGTGTTTTTTACGTTCCTTGTGTTCTCTATGTTTTATGCCTTCTTATACCACGCTTCCCTATACTATACCGCTATGTTATGTATTTTAGCGTTCTATATTTCTTATATCCCTATATCCGTCGCTTGCAGTAGATCTGTAAAGTGTATATATCTTGTGCCGTTTGTCTATAATCCTTTATCTATACCTCCTATCGTATTAGTCGAATATAGTCCCAGTTCTAGTCGGGGCTATAGGTAGCTACCTCCCTTCTAACTAATATCTGGGTTATAATCTTCGTGCTAGGAGAAACCTAAGATCATATCCTTGTCGGTCCCTATATCTATAATATCAAAGATAACTTTCGTAGTCTTCCCTTCGATAGTGATATCGAGTGGCTCGGTCTTACGCCGAGCCTACTATGTTTCGAATAGTCCTTTGACTATATATACAATATCTTTTATCCTCTATAAGACTTAGAGTTAGTTGACGAATCTTAGTGAGATGAGATTAAGTTCTAACCCCCTATCTACTAAAGCTAGTACCTAGTACTACTTCTAGTATACTAGGATCTAGAGTCTTCTATTGGTCCTAGTTCTTAATATAGCAGCGACTTCTGCTTCGCTTGCTAGGAGATCGTTATAGCCCTTCTATTCCGCCTAGTTCTTCCTATACTAGTAGGCCTATTATTATAGTAAGGGTGTTAGAGGTTGTCGGGCCCTTCGGAGGGCCCGGAGTCGTTTCCTAAGCGCTATTAGGTACTATGAACCTCGTCGTTCAGTTGGCGATAGTTTACCTACTCCTATAGGAGGTTGTAAAAGGTATCCCCTTCTATTCCCTAGCTTACTTCTATAATAGTGCCGAACTCTTATAACTATTGCTTACTGCTCTATACTAGCTGGTCCTCGTCCTTGTCTAGGGCTAGGTCTGAGTTATATCCTCTCTTCTTCCGGTATACCAAGCCTCGAGAGTAGCGCTCCCTTATTTCTACCTTTTTGTACTAGTGCTCCTTGCTCTTAGCTTGAAGGTGCTATATACAATCCATGCTATTGTAGTAGCTAATGTCGTCATCTTATATATATATATATAGAGATAGCTATACCTACTGTAGTTGTATATAGACCTTGCTGTTCTCTAGGTACTCGAAATACTAGAGTAGGTCAGATACCCCCTACCCTTAGTCGAATATCTATCTAATTGGTTTAGGTAGCTTATTGGGCATAGTCTTACAGATAGGCCAGTAGTTATAGTTATACTTCTCCTTGAAGTAGTACTTATAGGCATACATAACGCACTAGAACTATAGTACTTGCTTATAGTCTACCTGTTCAGGGTATAACCTTTGTGATTCCGACTTATCGACCTATTGGAACTTCCCTTTATAGTCGAGTTCCTTTATATCGCTGTTATTCTTCCCGATATTGATATAGGCCCTTGTTTTCTAGAATTCTTCCTAGCTCTAGGGTTTAGCGTTCTTGAGATACTACCGCCTAGCCTAGTTGTAGTACTCTTATTCGGAGTTCTAGATCTCTATAGGGTGGTAATCCTCGGTATTCTAGTCGTAAGGTCTACTCTATCCGATGTTTCTATGATCGAAGGAGTCGTTGACCTAGAAGATCTCCTTGCGGAGCGCGTCCACCTACTAGATCGCCTTATTAAGTCTTCCCTCGACTGTCTATCCTTTAGTAACTAACTTGAAAATCTTAGTCTGAAGTTAGTCGTTCTACTCTTTAAGCTCTTGGACTTACTACTATAGTCGTACTA